ATGGTAACAGTGAACTCTTCCATCCATTGCTCTTTCACACTTAGCACTGCTGCTGCTTACACACAAGGTTTGACTTAACCTGCATGTGTCTCTGTGTTGGACTCGGTTTATAGTGTTGCTGATCTCCTGCAAAGAACAGGGCCAGTGGCTTACTCAGTCATCTCCTCAGGCCTGGGAGCAAACAGTTCCTTACTGAAGGGGCCACCGGACTTCCGAGATGCCCCTGCCCCCGGGCACGGCCTTGGGAGACTGGGGAAAGCCCAGCATCTTCTCCTCCGCTCATCACCTTGTGAGCAGCGTTTAGATAAAGGCAGCTTTGTGCTCGAATGTCGGGGAGGCATTGCTGTGCTGCACATTCCACTTCCATCCACCTTTGTGATCCTCTGACTCAACTGGAAAGTCGCTGCTGCCTGATTCCACTTCTACAGAGTAGAAACCAAGACACCAGGAAAGACAGCAGCTCCCTTGGTCTCCCTGGATTCAAATCTAGACAGGCTCTGGAGTCCAGCCTCCCGGCTCCACCTGTGCGCCAGGTTTCACTTGTCACACGGGATGGCGCAGACCCCCAGGCCTCGGGGTGGCTACTGCTGCGGACTTGCTGCATCTCAGATGAGAAACCTGCACTTGGAACCAGTCTCTTGGATTCTCCCTTGATCTCACAGCATCCTCGGTGTGAGGGAGCAGTGTATCCTGCTTATGCCCCTGAAAGGAAACCAGTAAGGAAATAATAAGGCAAGAATAATAAATACGCTGGGTATGGTGGGGCAGGGCTGTATTCCCAGCTGTTCTGGAGGCTGAGGCAGGAGGATGGCCAAGGTTGAGGCTTGCCTAGGTGACTCAGCAAGACCCTGTCCCAAAATAAAATAGAGTTTTAAAAGGGCTGAGGAGGCAGCTCCTTGGACAGTGCTTTTCTAGCTCTGGGATCAATCCCCCATAGTACCGCCCCCCAAAAGAATAACCAATAAAAATAAAATGTATGACAGCAGCAGTTACAGCAGAATACAGATAAGGCAGACGTTAGGAGGTAGGTGGCCAGCAAGCAGATACAGATGAATGTGTGTATTCGCTTGTGGTTACGCTACTCGGCCTTCGGGACGCGCTACACGCTCGCGCATGCGCACACACACAGAGACGCCTGCTTGTGTTGGTGCAGGCTGGTGAGGGGTTGTACTGCAGACACTTCTCCCGGCCCCAGAGCCTGGAGGGCTCCAGCTGATCCCCCGCTGCTCACTGTGTCCACCTGTGCCAAAGGGGTCAGGGTCTCTCAGGCCTCAGACACAAGGACCCTGAGCCAGTCCTGCAGACTCCTCCCCCCTCACCGGTCACTTCCTACCGCACCCTGTGGAGGACTAATCTTTCAGCCTAGGAACCCTGAGCGAATATACACATTGGGTCTGTATCCGCTTGCTGGCCACCTCCCTAATTTCTGCCCTATCTGTATTCTGCTATAACTGCTGCTGTTTTAAATTTTATTTTCATTGGTTATTCTTTTTTGGGGGAGTACTATTGGGGATCAATCCCAGAGCCTAGGAAAGTGCTCTGCGGGGAGCTACCTCCTCAAACCTTTTAAAATTCTATTTTATTTTGGGATGGGGTCTTGCTGAGTCACCTAGGCAAGCCTCAACCTTGGCCATCCTCCTGCCTCAGCCTTCAGAATAGCTGGGAATACAGCCATGCCCCACCATGCCCAGCATATTTGTTATTCTTGCCTTGTTATTTACTTACTGGTTTTCTTTCAGTTTGCCTATTTTATTTTCATTAAATGAATTGATTTTCAAAGGGAACTTTTTTGTCCATACCATGAAGGAAAAACCATTGCTGCTCGACATGTGTAGACTTGCTAAAAATACGTTTAAAGTCTGTGAAGGCACATCGGTTTCTTGTGTTGTCCTTGTTTGAGCATTATTTTGGAGGAAGAAGGGGAAGAAATGAGTGCATGTCAGGGAAACCCAGAGGTTTTCATTCCCTTGACATGATCAAAGGATGGAGATAATGCGCAAAAGGCAGTGTGTTCTTTTGGTCTGTTGTAATGTGTGGAAAGCATGCGCTCACCTCCTGAGGTCTCCTCCAGGAGAATCGCTCCACCCCGTGGTGCTTGTCACTTCCGTGGAAGACAGTGTGTCCTTCAGATTGAGCTCTGGCCGGCGGCGGACAGTCACCTCCCCGATGTTCCGGACCTCTGCTTTTCCACTGCTCACAGAAGCACCCACTGGAGCATTGCTTACTGGGTCCCAGCCCTGTGCTCAGTGGTTACAGGCTGTGCTTGGCTTCAGGTATGAAGGCAGCCTTGCTGTGTAGGCACCGCCCATAATGCCTTCTTAAATAAGCTGGAAATTGAGGCACAGAGAAGTGGAGCAACCTCGGGCCACACCTTTCTTTTTTCTTTTATTTGCAGTACTGAGGATTGAACCTGGGATCTTCAGGCTGTGCTACATTTCCCGTCCAGTTTTTATTACTTTTATTTTGAAACAGGCTCTCTAAATTGTGCAGGCTAGGCTCAAACTTACAGTCCTCCTACCTCAGCCTGCCAGAGATGATAGGTGTGTGCCACCATGCCCGGCTCAGCGCACTCTACTTGGAGTTTGTGCTCCTAAGACATAATGTATTCTATGCTCACCACCTCTGCGCTGTTGTGTTTTGAAGCAGTGCTGTCATCCGTGGTCATTAGGAAGCTAGCACTGATGACTAGGAAAGTTCTCGCTTCCCACTTTGCTATGTAAACAAAACTGAGCCATTTTTGGAAGGGGTATATGTGCATGTAGTGGGCTGTGAGAAATACCATAAAATGAAAAACGAGATGAATGTTTCAGATTGTACAGTTTCCTAATTATGCCTTTAATTATTCATATAAAACAAGTCAAATGACCTGTGACAGAGACATAAATGATTTAGGTAAAATCAAATATTTATAGGATGATGCTGAGGCCCTAGTGTATTGTAACAGATGCTCTTAACATCGCTACCTTCATCCTTTGGATGCAACACTTTAAATATAGCGATGTAGCAGGCTGAGAAAGATCAACAGCATTACGGTACTACTGAGCTAATGCCTAGGTATTTTGACATTGGAATGAAAAATGTATGGATAATATGTAATCTTTAAAAACTACCATTCAACGTATTTATGTACACAACAATTTTATAGTGTTTCAGGTAATATTTTGTTTTCTGAGCTATTATCTTTTAGGTAGAATGAAATGATAGGCCCTCTTGCCTTTTTTAAAATTTTCAAATTGTTTTAAAAAATAAAAGAGAGAATAATACTAACGCATGAACATCGTGTCAGACGTAAATTCCAGTGTGATTAAAGTTCCGTTGGAACATGGTCACTGTCATTCCTTGGTGTGCTGTCTTCAGCTACTTCTGTGCCGCAGAGATGGGGTCAAGTTGTGCAAATCCCCTGCAAAAACTAAAATATGTACGAAATTGCCCTTAGCGGGAAAAGCAAGCTGACCCCTGTTCTAAAACATGCCCCAAACAGAGCAAAGTTGGAACAGTGCCTTCGCATGTTTAATTGGCACAAGAAACACTTGCTTCGTTTCACCCTTTAATTCACTGCCCTGCTAATGGAACACTCACTGTATATTTTTCAGAAGTTGGGGGAAAACTGCTTTTTGAATGCAATAAAAAGGGATTTATATGAGCAGGGTTTCTTCACTTGCATTTAATGCTTCCTTTATACACAGAAATACTGAAACTAATTGCCCTGTTTTAGAAATGGGTCATTAGTCTAGTCCCTATCTTTTATGGTGACCTAATTTGCATGCAGGATTTCTCTCTGAGGCTCTAGCTGGGATCTCTAGGAAGAGGCCACAGTGAGGTCTGAGAGCTTTCCCATGGCTTGCGCGAGCTTGGCTTCTGGTCACAAGCCATTCACTGTATTGGCTGGCTTCTAACATGTATTTAGCAGCCAATAAGAATCTGTTAGACGTATGAATGAATCCGCTTGAGAAGAAGAGAGAATGTATCACTGATAAAATAGAAACTATTTCGTATGCATTGAGATTTTACATTCCTTTTGTAAAAATAGTATTCTTTAAGTACAAATCCAAGTTATTTTTGAATTCTCTTTCCTATGATTCAAGCAAGAGATGTGTATTTGAAATTTAGGGTGTGAATTTAGTGTGAGGTTCTCTATGCTGTGGATACTCTCGTGTGTGTTCTTCCTCATGGGAGATTTTCTTACGCTTAGACTAAAACGAGTCAGTAGAGCTGTGTGCAGTGGCCCATGCCTATAATCCCAGCACTCAGAGGCTAAGGCAGTAGAATCACTGTGAGTTCAAGGCCAGCCTGGGCTACATAGTGAGTTCAAGCCCATCCTGAACTGCATAGCAAAACCCTGTCTCAAAAAGACCCCAAAAAAGGCAGTAGAGGAACCCAGTTATCTGCCAGTATTAGAGTGACTTAAGGAGTGGATTTCATACAACATTTTCTTGGGCATTATTGTCTAATATAAAGTGTGTAATCCCTAGCCATGGCCATCTTCCTACTAGTGTTGCCTTTATCCTGAAGGAACCTGCACACCCCAACCCCAATTTCTTGCCTAGGTTTTTGATCAAAGAAGTATTGCAGTCACAGTGGGCTTATCATGTGTATTTCCCATATCATTCCTGACCTTGATCTTTGCGTAGCCCCAGGAATTGGTGTAGACAGCAAATCTCACCCTCCAGATAACATTGATCTTCACGTAGATGTAGAAGACCCTGGTTCACAGTGACTTGTTCTGTCAATGTCTCCATTTTTTCCTGTAGCTGTTAAATGGATAAGAAATGTGGAGATCTTTCCCTGGGAATCGTCATGGTTTAGAACCATGATCTGAGCGCATTCTGCAGCTAGAATATTTTAATGTGTTCAGAGTGGTGGTTGTGACCTGTTTTAATAGCTCTATGAAGAAGTAATTCGCATCCTGGTAGTCCAGCTTTATTAAAAGCAACAGGAAAAATCCTGAGTCTGGGTGTGGAACTCATTTTGTTTTTCTCCTTCTCTTCCGTTTTACGCAGTTGCCATCCTTCTGAAAGATGACTATTTCGTCAGTGGTGCTGGCCTGCCGGGCAGATTCAAAGCGGAGAAGGTGGAGTTTCACTGGGGCCACAGCAATGGCTCTGCTGGCTCAGAACACAGTGTCAATGGCAGAAGATTTCCTGTGGAGGTGAGAGAATCGGGGGAATCTCAAAATACAGCAGTATTTGGGGAATTTGCATGAGTTCCATGCTGTGACATTGATTACCCGCAGACTGTCTGCAGAGCGCACTTGGGCAGTACCTCGTATCTTACCAGGAATCCTGTGTGTCAGGGCAGCTTGATGCCCCTCTGGTATCCCATCTTCCCTCGGGTAGAGAAACAGAAAAATCCCCGGCCTCTTGGTAGGAGTAGATTCAGTCTCACCTGACATGTTTTTCACTCTCCATTTCTGAAACCTTCGTAGGCAGCATTTTGGGTAAAACCTGCATGAGTATTGTCACTCATTAGAAAATGGGTAAGCTAGTGACATATGAAGAACAGTCTCAGGACCTTCTCTGAGTTCCACAGTTGTTTGTAATTGTTGTGTTTTGTTTTCTCCTGTCTGCTGTTAACAAAGAGGCTGTGACCGTCATGATGTGAATCACTCCCTGTTAACTTCGCTGGGATCAGTGGGGGCATTTTGCTTCAGTCTGAATTCATTTTATGTCAGTTTACTCACAGATCCATATCGCTGGCCAGAAAGAAGTGTTGGTATTCTGGGACTTACACTGGGGTGGGTTGGAGGGGAACGCATCACTCAGTCAGCTAATCTGACTTTGTCCTTCAGTCGTGATCGCTGTCACCCTTCTTTCCATGTAGTGAACATGTTGGTCGGTTGGTTGGCTGGCGCTCTCCTCATGGTATAACTCGCATGTCTGTGGGAGAATCAAATGGGTGTGTACCATTGTCTGCCTGTACTTAAACATGGAGTAACTGCAGACTCGTACCTGCTACAGTTGTAAGAGCAAAGGAATATTTTCAACTCTTACTGTGTCATGATTAATCTTAAACCTGACACCTCCTTCAGAAAGAAAATACATGACTGTATCTCCACGCAGATTTACATTTAACTCACAGGGTTTCCACCTTCCCGCTAGCCTAACTCCTCAAGCCCACTTACTGAGCCTCTAGGTATCCCTTAAGCCTGCAAAAGGAACCCTTCCGAGATGAAAAAATCATTAGTATCTCTTTGTTCGTGGATGATTTTTATGAGACAATGGAAAACACACTCACTGTGTTTCTCCAGCTGTGCACTCACAACACAAATCACTTCTGTGATCCCAAAATATTGTGGAATTTTGCCCCGTAGAGTGTAAGCGATCGTTCCGCACCAGCCATTGGCTGCCAGATCTCTAAATCGGTTCACTTCTCACACTGTCCCCCTGGGGATAGTGTTCCCCTTCCGTGGGGTGGGGACTCAAGTCTCAGAAGATTGCCCCTACTTCAGACCGATTGATTCCAGGCCTCTAGGTCTTCTAAGAGCCCCCATGAGCCCCTCCATATGCACTTACTTTGCTAGGATGCCGCCAGAACTCAGAACAGAACTCGCTGCTGCTTTATTATACACAGTTAAAGGATGCAAATCCTAAGCCAGATGAAGAGGTATATGGGGTGATGTCTGGAAGGGTCCTCAGCCCTGAAGCTGCTGTCCCCATGTAGCTGGGATGCACTCCTGTCCTGCCATGTGATGAGTTTTCCTTCACCTTCCTATGAGCCTTAACTTAGTGAGCTGTGCCTTTCTTCAAACCCTGTGCTATGTGCATCTTATGTAGTCGTGAATGAAGCCTGACTGATAGGGCAAGAGAGACTCCATTTTCTTTTTTTAACTCCATATTAAGAGAAGTCACTTAAGCTGCAGTTGACCCCACCCTTCATCCCCTCCCCTTGGTTAGTCATCAACCCACTTAGAGGAGAGCAGAGTCATAAAATGGGAACAGAACAAACAGGACAAATGGGGAAGTAGGCTAAAAGTTAAACTGCAACGGTCATCTGGAATCCCGCTGTCAGGCAGCTTCTGGGAAAGATGAACCTTGTAACCATTATGTGACATTCTTGGAAAATTCCTAGAAATGAGGTAATGTTTACTATGGAAACCTAAAAATGTACTTAAACAGAAAGTGAGACCCAGATCGGGGTGGACATCTTCTCCGTCTCCTGGTTGGCGACTGGCCGTCAGCCGGCTCAATAAAGCTTTGTTCAGTCCTGCTCTTTCAGTCTCCTGTGAATGCTGTTCTCGTTGAACTCGCTTGCCGTATCATGACAGCCCTGTAGAAAGTGTTTGGCATGAAGTAAAGCTGGTGGACCGAATGGGAAAGCCCAGCAAGGCCTGTCCCATCCAGTGCTTCTTAGTCTGTCTGTGCAGCAGAGAGAGTTTAGGGCAAGACCCCAGGTTCCTCTGATCTACTATCAGGCAAGCTAGTTTGAAGAATTTCTTTATTGGCAGCTGCAAGACTAAAAATCAGGGGAATATCAGTTTCTGTAACTCACCTTTAAGAGGAGATGTTCTAATTTCCGTATCTTCCTAGGAGAGGGAGTCATATGCCAGGAACCATCCATTAAAAGCAAACTACATATCATAATAACATGTGCTTCTAACGGCCTGTAGATGGCTTTGCTCTCCACTGTTCCTAAGCCAATGCTTCCTATTTTTTGTTGTTTTGCTGACAATTCTGAGGACCAAAATTCCCTGTGCACTAGGAGTCCTCTCTCTCTGTGGGACTTTCTGTCCTAGTCACACTAATTATGTGTCTCCCGGGTGGGGTTTCTGCTTAATGGGCTGTCCTCCTCTGTGTGAATGGAATGAATCATTTCTTAGAAATCTTAGCTTTATGTGTACTTGGAAAACTTCATTCCTAGAAGCAAAACTGGATCATGTGTCTGACTGCAGGGCTTCCCTTCGAGTCCTGCTGACGGTTCCCATTGGCAGTGGAAGTTGAAGGGACAGTTTGTGTCTGGCCAGCCTTGCTCAGAACTCTCTTTGTCTGAGAATTGGGTTGCCATTTGTTCACTTAATGTTGTTCTGGACAAAAGGCCTGTGCTTGAAAGCTTGAAAACTTAATCTGGCAGCTACTTTGGAAAAAATCTCTGAGCTAGGAACTGGGGACTTTGGCTTCGTTTGAAATCACATCTTCTAATGCAAAGAAGATCTGTTTCCTCTCATGCTTGACTGTGGAAAAATGCACAGAGTAAATATGTATTCTTTTCAGACCCAGTAACTTATAAAGAATATTTCCATTCCCATTCCTTAAAGAGTTTAATTGGATTCAGAAGCTGAGGAAGCCGTGGTGCTTAGACTTGCTTTCCGGTACAGAGCTGCTTGGACTTTTGCCTTTTAAGTAATGTCAGACGGTGACTCTGCATATGTGAGTAGACTTCCTCATGAAAGTCCATCTGGCTCATAACGTGCTTTCTTAAAATGTGACAAGCATGTTAACTTACTTAGTGGTATATTTGGAAAAACTTTAATTTTAGAGATTAAAGGTAACTGGATCACATTTCACTTTAAAATATGCATTGGACACTTGCTCACTTTTGTCTAAAATGTGTCTGATATTTTACATTAGTTTTCTTTCTTTGAGCTCTGGATTATCACCTCACCTCCTTTCTGAAGTTATTATGCTGTTTGAATATCTCAGGGTTGGTTTATTTCTTTTCATATAGCTGCTTTGTGTTCCAAGACACTAGAATGGAATTCAGAAAATTTTAGTCTATCAGCGAGTATAGTTAATGTATAGCAGTGGTTTCAACTGGGGACCGTTTCTTACCCCTGCCACCTAACCAGTGATGGAGTGATTTCCTGAGACATTTTTGGCTGCCATTGCAGGCAGTGGAATGATACTTGTTTCTGGTGCATAGAGGCCAGGGGTGCTGCTAACATCCTCACTGCAAAGAGTTGTTTGGTCCCCAGATAGCGCTAATGGTACAGTTGTGTGTGACTAGACCAAAGAAAGCAGCGTGCTTACTGGAATTGAGCCTTCCCTTTATGTTGTGGCATCATTTGAAGCACAGATAGACATTGAAGACTTGGTTCTTGGGAAGTCATTCCAGCTTCTTGTGGTTTCTGCAGAGGAAATACACCTTGCCTTCTGTGTGACAGCCTTTCCGGTTCTGGTTGCTGTAAACTCTGTGACACAGTCCCAGCCTTGAGGATGTAGGCAGCTCTCCCAGTGCCTCTGGTCTGCAGGCTGAATTTTAAGCATGTGCCCCCAAAGATGCCAGGTCTGTTCCCTGAGGATACATAGTAAGAAACCCAACTTTATAGTTTTGTTGTTTCTCAGAAATTCTTTCAGGTTATCTACAACTTTATAGGCATCCAGAAAGTAGAGCTTTTTGCGGTTTCCTGGCTAAAATCCTGGATTCAGCCTTTGGTAGTTGACCAAAGAGGTCCTTGTAAAAACAAAACAGAACAAATCACAGACTCTCCAATGGCCAGCATTCTGGACAGCTCAGTTAAGGTTAGCAAAGAAAGTCAGAATCACCGCAGTGCTGTGCCTGAGACTGGACCCATTTCGGTTCCTAGTCCACCTCTTCTCCCCTGTTGAGCTGCATTCTCTGCTTAGCCGGAGATTTTCGGGAGCATCTCTGGTTGGACAGGTTAGGGACGCAAAGTTACAGCCCCTGCCTTTCACGTGTTTCCCCTCTAGTAGCAACACAAACATTGAACAAAAAGAGTAGCAGCAATGACTGTACAGTCTCACTGTGACCCAGTCTCTGAAGCAGAGGTCACACTTTGCCAGAAGATGGAAGATCTCAGAAACAGCGAGGTGTGTGCAGATGGAAGTGGTCTATTGCAGCCTGTTGGTAGAGACAGGATATTCAAAGGCCCTGAGGCTAGTGATACTTGGAAAAGATAACGAGAGGTCAGTGTAGGTTCTGGTAGGCAAGATAGTGACCCTGTACATGTACACTCTCCAACTCCTAGAGCATGAAAACCTGTTACTTTATTTGACAAAAGGGGTTTTGCAAATGCAGTGAAGTATTCTTTTCAATCACAAAGCTCAGACTATGACAGTGAATAGGGCAGCCTGCTGCAGTTCTTCCGTGGCCCTGGATGTCTGGAACCTGTCGCACCACAGTCACCTCTGGCCACGTGCACCCAGCCCTTGTCATCTCCCCTTCATCGTTCCTCGTTCTGTGGTTGGTGACTTC